AAACGGTTCCCAGTTGAAGTATCGGGGTAGAAAAACATCCTAAGCTGCTCCCAGTTGCAGAATCAGGGGCAGGAAGCAACTTTCTTCCCTGGTTGAGCAACTCCCACTCTGGATTTAAGTTCCCTAATGGTGTTGCTGAAGCATAAATGTCTTTTTGATGCTGTCCCTGCAGCTGTGTGTGCCAACTCTCTTACTGCTCTATGGAGTCCCAGTCATCCTTAAATCCCTGGGTTTGTTCCAGAAGCTGCTCCTCCCTCTCCCTGCACAGTCCCTCAGGCATTCAGACCCACAGGGAGTTTAGGATCACATACAATTATGGTATGAAGCCAAAAATAGCCTGCAGAGCATTTGTCTGGCCTGAGCCTCCAGGAGAAGGGCAAATGCCAGCTGATGGTCACCTAAAATAGAAACAGCTGCCTGGAGGGTGTCAGGGAAGACACCAACCCAGTCTGAAATGTGGAGAGTGGTGAGGGGGGGCTGCAAAATGGGCACCCCAGCCCCTGGAGCCACATTCTTGCCCTCTGGCTGACCCTAGGGCTCTCCTCTCTTCACCTTCCTGGGCTCAGCTTTGGTCCCCTGGAGGAATGAGGAGCTACCAGCAACAGTGTGTTAGAGCCTGACTCCATCCTGAGGAGCAAAAGGAGGGGTTTTCCAAAGTCACAGAGGCTCATCACCCACCCTCCTCACAGCTTTTTCACTGAGGGAAGAAGGTTCCACCTCTTCTGCACCTCTCCTATGTCTTAAGCAGCCAAGAGCAGAAAGCAGCTCAAAAAACCATCCAGCATGGTGTTGGACACTTCCAGGGATGGGGCAGCCACAGCTTCTCTGGGCAACCTGTGCCAGGGTCTCACCACCCTCACAGGGAAGGATTTCTTCCTAATATCCAATCTAAACCCAGCCTCCTTCAGTTTAAGCCCATCACCTCTGTTCTGTCAGGATAGTCTTGTCCCCAGTCCCTCTCCAGCTCTCCTGGAGCCCCTTTAGGCACTGGAAGGGGCTCTCAGGTCTCCCTGGAGCCTTCCCCTTTCCAGGCTGAACATCCCCAGCTCTCCCAGCCTGTCTCCAGCCTTAGAATACTTGGATCTTAGGGCCACCTGTGGCGTTTCTGGAAGCCAGACTGGGCATGTGTCAAGCAGGACTGGACAGGAGCCAAATCAAAGGGAAGTAGGTGGGAGGAGGGTGGAGCTGCAGCGCCCTCGGTGTTCTGCAAGCAGCAGGATGGTCACATTAGTCACCAAATGTGGTCAAGAGGAATGTTTTCTCCACGAGAGGTTCCCATCATGAGAAAGTGGAGGTGTAGGAGGAGGGAAAGGCCTTGTTTAACCTGAAGGGAAGGTTTATCCATGGATTAAAGAGGCGGGGTGGATCGACTCATTCTCTCTGCACCAACTTCTGCTGACCAGCGTTGCTGGTTGTGCAACAGCTGGAGACAAGACCTGCAGAAACAAGGACCCAACAATCTTAAATTCTTGGGGTGTGCTTTCAAAGCTCCTCCCTCAGAACACTCTTGCTCTTTTCTTTCTATTTCAAAGCTGTAAAGAGAGACAGACACGCAGCTGAGGAAGGACCAACAGGCTTCTCCCCCTGAGAAATGGAGCAGAGACAGAGAAATAGTTAAAACCCAGCATTTCTTGGATGGTTGCCACCTGCAAGCACAGCATCATGGCTCACTGGAGACTGAGGGGTATCCACGCTGTGTCTCCCTGCAAGTGGCTCTGCTGAGCAACTGGGATAGTCAGCACAAAGTTAGTCACAGAATCCCAGAATGGTTTGAGGTAGAAGAGACCTTAAAAATCATCTCCAGCCCCAGCTATGGGAAGGGATGCCACTCACCAGACCAGGTTGCTCCAAGCCCTGGTCAGTTCAGCCTCGGACACTTCCAGGGATGGGGCAGCCACAGCTTCTCTGGGCAACCTGTGCCAGGGCCAAACCACCCTCATAGCCAACAATTCATTCCCAGTATCCCATCTATCCCTGCCCTCTACCAGTGGGAAGCCATTCCTCCTTGAACTTTCCCTCAATCCCTTTTCCCAAGGCCCTCTCCAGCTCTCTTGGAGCCCCTTTAGGCTCTGGAAGGGGCTCTCAGGTCTCCCTGGATCCTTCTCTTCTCCAGATGAACCCCCCCAGCTCTCCCAGCCTGGCCCCAGAGCAGAGGGGTTCCAGCCCTGGGAGCATCTCCGTGGCCTCCTCTGAACTCTCTCCAGCAGCTCCATGTCCTTGTGCTGTTGTTCCCCAGGGCTGGAGGCAGCTCTGCAGGTGGGGTCTCACCTGAGGGGGCAGAGGGTCAGAATCCCCCCCTCCCCTGCTGCCCAAGCTGTGGGATGAGCCCAGGACACGGGGGGTTTCTGGGCTGGGAGTGCACATGGCCGGGGCATGTCCAGCCTCTCACCCACCAACACTCCCCAGTTCTTCTCCCCAGGGTTCTTCCTCAATCCATGCTCCTCCAAGCCTGTGCTTGTGCTTGGGATTGCCCCAACCGGGCTCATAAAAGGCTTCATCACTGATCATGATCCTTCATTGATCAGGAACCTTCATCACTGCTCTTGCGTGCTCTGAGCAAGGAGAACAAACGAAGGATGCATCTGCATAGGATTTTATTAAAGTAGGCATCATCCACAACTTACAATATTTGAAAAAATATTCTTAACAACTTTTTTTTTTTTTTTTTCTTTTTTTTTTTTTTTCCTGAATAGGTAATTTAACAGCTACAGTGCTCAAGTGTCTTGAGGGAAGTCTCTGCCCAGAAGTGAAACTTCGAACTGGTAGCAAAAAGTAAGACATTTTGTACCACATCAAGTTTGTTTAATACAGAAAAGACTGCAACATGGTTACAACAGAGGTTAATGGGGAAGACATGGGGAAAAAAACCAACATGGATCATTGGTCACAGGCTGAAAAACAGAATTTCAAACAGGACAGACACATTTAATGACATTCCCTGATTATCATCAGTTACCTCCAGACCATTCTCTATTGCAACACGGTTTATTTCAGATTTTAAAAAATTTAAGTTGCTCAAATGGCTGCTCCTAAAAGAAGTCAGAAACTTTGGACAGGGGAAAAAAACCACAACTAACTGTGTTCAAAATGCCATGGGTTTGAATTTCACCTTATCCAAGGTTTTTGTGCAACGCCACCACCAAAGACAGAGTGTTTCAGGGAAAGAACATCCCTGCTCCTCACTCTTGTTAGCTCCAGGTAAACTGGAGCTCGGAAAAAGGCTTTGAGTGAAGGAAGGAAATGGAGTGAGACCCATCACCAGCTCGTTATTTTACACATCTCATGGATCAGAGGCAATGAGGAGCCCCCAGGGTGGGAATGATGAGAGGCTGGAGTGGACAAGACACTTCAGCTCCTTTAAAGCTCCTCATCTGACGGCTCCAGTTCACCGGGAGATCCAGTTTGGATCCAGCCCAGTCTGGGCAGGGCAGAGGATAAACCTGAGCCAGTCTCTCCTTGCAGGGTGTGAATGGACTTCACTGGCCCATTGGGCCAAATATTACACTTGAACAGCAGCCAAAGTTTACAAACTTGTTTTTTTCAGAAACGTAAACAATATAAAAGTGTTTCCGTATCAGGCCATGACCTTTCAGTTTAAATACCTGGGAAATTCATACCTTGCCCAGAGGTGAAACAATAAGTACAAAAGTAAGAGATACAAGTGTAACAATTGTTTAAAATAACTGGGTTTCACCACAGAATCTTCATTTGAAGGTTACTTTTGTGAGGAAACATATTCCTCTCAGCAGAGTCCTTCACAAACAGACAAAAATCTGATTAATCCACCAACTGAGGGACCACCACAGGGTTACAGAGAATGGAACAGACTTGCAACCACCAAAGCACCATCACAGGAAACAGAGCAAAAAGAAAACAACAAATAAAAATACTTGAATGTGTTTACCTACACACACTATTGGAGTATACAAGACAACAACAAAAAAAAAAGGTGGAGAGCTTCCTATAGGGAATTTCCAGTCTTTTTGAAAATGAAAGATATTTTTTTCTTTGAAAAAAAAAATAAAATCCAAAGCTCCCAGAGGCTGCTTTTCAGCTAGAGTCTGACAGCTCAGACTCACGTCCATGGAAACTGGTGTTTTACCTAAAATGGCTCTCTTGTCACTTCCCAAAGTCTCCTAAGTAGCTTTTGAACTGACACCTCTTCCTCGTATGCACCTACAAAAACTCCCTTGTTCATCCCAGAACCTCCTGTTTCAGCTTCTGGATCCCTCTCTGGAGAACAAAAGGGTATGAGTTACACACAGACAGCATCTACAAACGCAGTGCACGTGGAAAACGCGGTGAATGCAAACGATTTCAAAGGCTGACCCGGCTCGACCGTGAGGCTCCATCACCAGCCCACCTTTAAGCCTTGCCCCCGGCAGTGTGTCCTGCAAACAGCTGGGAGAAGCCAAAGTACTGCTAATAAACCCTTTGCCTTCCTGAAGTACCACCCAGACTCGCATCTATGGATTTCAGATCCACCTCTGAGGTTACACTGAAGGCAGCGGCACTTGCAAAGAACAGGATGAAGCTTAGCTTATAAAACCTGATTTTTTTTTTAAAGCATCATAAGAATTCAAGTCCTATTCCACTTCACATTTGTAAGCAGCTTTGTAAGAATAATGCTGCTTTTATGCCCTACATATAGAAAAGTGTATGCTTGGACAGCACTAAATATAAATAGGAACTATCGACCAAAGTTTGATCTCAAACTAGAATTGCAACGGCCCCCTGCAATCTGGAAACATCAAGTAGCTCTTCTGAAGTCTCTTTTGCAAGCAAGGAGTAGAAAGGATCTTATCTTACTACACCCTATCATCCTCCACCAGGAAAACGAAACACCTACCGCTGACTTTGCGGGATAGACCTGAAACACCAGGATGGACAACACTGTCCCACGCTGTTTGCCAAAGAAGAGGCAGGAATGACTGGAGAGCCACCAGCCAGGAGTAAGTGCTCTTTTTGGTGTTTTTGTTTGTTTGTTTGTTTGTTTTCCTAAGTGTGGAAGCTCAATAACTCTGTGTTTGTCATCTGGAGACAGCACCCACTGATGTTCATTTATCTAAAGTACATTCCAGCCTACAGGATGTTTCTGCCCAGCTCTGCTGCTACTTATGAAAATTAATCACTGACATGCTCTAAGACTCAGAAAATTACAACCCTAAACTTAGCCATTTCTTCCTGGTCCTCTGTGGAAATCTGGAAACATCTGAAAGTATTTTCAGTTAGCTTGGGCAATCCTGGAGTCAGACCCAAGGTAGCTAAACATGGTGGTCACCAGCTCAGGGAGATCATAATCGTGTTTCCAACCCCAATCCCTGCGGGCGTTGCTGTCGTCGAAGTTCATGGGCCAGCTGTCAGCTGCAGGGAACAAGAAAAAGAACCAAGAAACGTGAGGTTTAGGAAAAAATTCCTTTAAACTTTCAGGTCTTTCGTCACTGGTTTGAACTGCTGAAGCTGAATTTCAAACCATTAAGACTTGAACTGCACGGGGGGAATTTGCAGGTGCCTAAAAAGAAGAGAAGCTTTATTTCGCCCTTGGTTTGATGTTTCTTCTTACCTGGTGCCTGAAAAGATACTAACCTATGGCCTGCCTGACTTGATCCACGTTGTAGGTCACCTGGAGCTCAGGAACATACTTCTGCACCTCCTGTGCCAGCTCCTCAGGACTGAAGCTCATGGCATTGATGTTGTAGGTCCTCATGGTCAGTGATTCCGCAGGGGCCTCCATGACCTCCAGCGTTGCCTTCAGACAGTCATCGATGTACATCATGGGCAGACGGGTGTCTGGCCTGAGGTAACACTTAAACTTGCCAGTCTTTATGGCATCATGGAAGATCTTGACAGCATAATCTGTGGAGGAGAATGATGGATGAGTCTGTTCATCCGGGTGGATCTCTTGTGTGTGTCACAACAGGCAACGACCCTCAGACCACCCCCAAGGTCTCCTGTCTAAAATCTGGCAGCAGGACTGTGTGTTATTTATCATAGACCATAGAATGGTTTGGGTTGGAAGGGACCCCAAAGATCATCTTGTTTCAACCCCTGCCATCGCAAGGGATGCCACTCACCAGACCAAGCTGATCCAACTTGGCCTTGAACACTTCCCGGGATGGGGCAGCCACAGCTTTTCTGGGCAACCTGTGCCAGTCTCTCCTTGCAGGGTGTGAAGAGAGACAACCTCACAGCCAGCAATTGCTTCCCAATATCCCATCTAACCCTGCCCTTTGGCAGTGAGAAGCCATTTCCCCTTGTCCTGGCACTGCAGCCCCTTTTGAAAAGTCCCTTTCCAGCCTTCTCATAATGCCCAAGCCACTCACCAGTCGTTCCCCCTCCAGGCTGGGAGTCAGCAGATATAATCCCTGGATACCTGAGGCAGCGGAAGTCCAGCCCATACCGGTAATGGTAGTACTGGGGAGAGAGGGAGGGAGGAGAGGAACAAGTTTACACACCAAGAGCAGGCCACACACTCACTGATTCCACGGGAAAAATCTGCCACGGGATGAACCCTCCTGCTGTAACCATTCCATGATGGGGATGAAAGAAAAGGGACGAAACAGCTCCTAGTCCCTGCCAGGCACTGAACTCCCTTCCTGCCCCCCCCCTTTTTTTTTTTTTTTTTTACATCCACATCAGTAAATATGGATTCTTGATATGGATTAGCTGCTAATGCAGGGCCTACATTTGGTGTTCAGAAACTTAAAACTCTAGGAGTGTTTTAAAGCCTGTGAGACTTTTCAGGCTAATCCAGTCTTCAGACCTACGTGAAGAATCTGTATGCAAAAATATTAGCCTTAAAAATGTTATTTATAAGTAGCTACAAAGCCAAAAGAGAAGCTGTGCATGTACAGACCCCCATGGCTTTGACTTTAAAATCTTTTTTTTTTGGAGAGGAGGGGTAAAAGCCATCACTGTCCCTGCTTTCACAAGGCTTTGTACACTGTCCTTTACCCAATGCCAGATGAGACAGAGAGGCCAAAGTTAAAAGAGCCAGGGGAAAGAAATGACACTGGAAGTCAGATGTTTGCCAGCTTCCAATTCTTTGGGCTTTTCCCAACAGAACAAAAAAGATATTTGACCTCAAAAGCTGCCTCAGACTACTGCTGAGCACTAAAGCCTGAAGGAAGGAAAGAACAGGGAAAAGAATGTTGCAGTGAGGAATCTTACAAAAGGAATGAAGTTATAATCATAGAATCATGGAACAGTTTGGGTTGGAAGGGACCTTAAAGATCATGTCATTCCAACCCCTTGCCATGGGCAGGGACACTTTCCACTATCCCAGGTTGCTCCAAGCCCTGTCCAACCTGGCCTTGGACACTTCCAGGGCTGGGGCAGCCACAGCTTCTCTGGGCAACCTGTGCCAGTGAAGTTCTCTCAGAACTTTTAAGAAAAGAATAAACCAAAAAATTCTCACTTCTCCCATGAGCTCAGCATGGACCTTGGAGACTCCATAGATTGTCCTTGGTCTCTGAATGCAGAGATCAGGAGTTGGGTCTCGAGGAGAGGTGGGTCCAAAGGCCCCGATAGTGCTTGGAACGAAGAGCCTCAAATTATGCTCAGCTGCAATATCCAGAACATTGTGTAAACCTGGAAAAAAAACCCAAATCAACAGGACTCATCAGAACATGCTCTCCACTTTTTCCTTGTAGGAATTTTAGAATATCCTGAGTTGGAAGGGACCCACAAGGATCAAATCCAACTCCTGGCCATGCCAGAACACCCCAACAATCCCACCCTGTCCCTGAGAGCGTTGTCCAAACACCTCTTGAGCTCTGGCAGGTTTAAGGTCATGACCATTCCCTGGGGAGCCTGTTCAGTGCCCAACCACCCTCTGGGGGAAGAACCTTTCCCTGAGATCCAACCTAACCCTCCCCTGACACAGTTCCAGGGACTTGGAATCCTTGTCACCTACCGGTAATGTTCACAGCTCTGGCCAAAGGCACATTCGCTTCTCCAACAGCGCTGAGCAAAGCACTGTAGTGGAACAGCCAAGTTATCCTGTTGTTCACCACAATCTCCCGCAAATTCTTGTAGTCCAAGATATCCGCGAAGATAAAGGGACCTGGAGGGAATGGAACCAGCGGGAAACTCACTGCCAGGAATGGATATCAGGGAAAGTTCTGCCAGAAACTCAGACTGCTGCACCTTACCACCTAAAATACATCGCCAAACAGCAACTTATGCAAGTTCCTACTGAAAATCAAAGAATCTAAAATCACGCTCTACACCCGTCTCATCATCAAAAATTCCCCGAGCGTGGAATAACACAGCACAAATTTAATTTCCAGCTTGGTCCCTCCAAAAGAATAAAAGCATCTCTTTTTTACAGCAGGAGCACGGCCTGACTCAAGTTGTTATTCTGCTCAAAGAAGTGGCAAAGCAACAGCGCAAAAAAATGCAAAGGAAATTATTTAGGAAAAGGGAATAATAGAAGAAATCAATCAATTGCAAGATTTCCAAGCAGGAAGGCATTATCCAGGAGTTTAGAACAGCAGCCTGTTAGTGCAATCCATTTATCAGGTTGGTAATTAGTCGATGAACATCAACTGAACATCAGAGGTAAAGTCAAGAGGGTTTTTTCCATGTGTTTCCCCAGTCACTTACCACTATAAAAAACATTATCTGCAGGCTTTCTAATGTCAGACAAGATCACATTGTTCTTTCCAAAGCGTTTCCTGTGTAAAAATACCCACATGGAACAGTGAGTCCACAGCCTTTTGAGATAACCCATCAGTCGCTGCTATTTTGTTTTGCAGGAGCAACAATAATTCCAGTAATTAAATCAGTTATTGCACTTCAAAAAACCCCACTGGACCTTTAAATGTCAATTTAACATCTCAGAAAATGAGTGAACTACTTCTAGTAGCACTGAAGGGCTGTGCAAGCATAGAGGAATCTTTTAGGAAGTGAAAATATGTTGAGAAGAAAGACCCTCCTACCCTTTCCTTACTGAAATTTGTACCCAGAGATAATTTACTCCCCTGCAAACAACAAAAATCCACTGGGTTGCTGTAACTGAAGCTACTTTTGTATCAACAAAGTAAATTATACAGAGAAATTGTGACTTTTTGACAATTAACAGCTGATGGCACTGGAGCACATTCCAGTCTCGGCTCACTTCTGGTCCTAGTCCAGATCCCCTGGAGCTGAGCAGGTGTGGATGTGGACATGGATATGGATCAGGGAGAGCTCTTGGAGCACTTCTTGAAAAGATATCATGGAAAACATGAGGTAACTGTGTGTATGTGGGGTGGGGGAACAGGAAAAGTTAAAACAGAAAAGGACAATTCTGAGGATTCAGCCTCTCAATACTTCCATTTAACTGGAAGCAAACAACCCAGCAGCCAGTCCCTGGGACAAAATTATGTTATTTTGGGAATGGTGACCAGTGTACACACAGGAAGGACGTCAGCAACCCCAAACAAGCACAGGAGTGGAATATAAAATGGTGGGGAAAATTTAATCATAGAATCATTAAGAATCACAGGATCATTAAGGCTGGAAGAGACCTTTAAATCATCAAGTCCGACCATTCATGTTGTTTACAAAGCTGAGAGGCAAAAAAAGAACCTGCAGTCGACGGTGGGATGCTTTTATAAACAACTCTCTAGAAAATTATTGCTTCTAAAAGTGATGGCTAAAGCTTGAAATCCTCACTAACAGCAAGCCAGGGAATCATGATATATCAAGGATTCAGGACATACCTCAGCAGCTTTGCAAGTCCCACCCCGAGCTGGCCAAGACCACCTGGGAGACAAAACAAACATCGGAGGAAATTATTAAAAAACAGAATTTCATTATTATTGTGTCTATGACATCAGAAATCAGTACCATTTCTCCTCAGTGAGTCAGGCAGCTTTTATCAATTTTCCTTAAGGAATACTGAATGAACTGGTTTTGGTGGAGTTACGGAGCTAAAATAGCAGGGAAGTTCAAACGGGACCCCACTGGGAGAGATCATCACAATTCCAGAGTACCTGGGGCATTTTTGCTGCCAGAATTCTGCCCACTGGGGAGGGAGGAGGGGAGGGGAGGAGAGTGGGAATAGTTATGACAAGGAATTAATTACCTGTGATGAGCACCCGAGGATGATCCGACTCGGAAAAGGTGACGGAGTGGAAACTCGTGTCCGAGGCCACTTGGCGCGGGGAGACCCCGATGCACCGAGCGGGCACCACGGAGATCCCACAGCCACACCCCGAGCTCTGCAGCAGCTGGCTGGCAGCCCTGCCCAGGTTCCTGACAATTGGCATCTTCCCCTTTCAAACCTGCCGGGGGGAGGGGGGGCACAGGAGAGGAGATGAGTCAAGCGAGTGAGTCAAAGGCTTTTAACCAAAAAAAAAAATCTCCCTGAGAAAACTCCGCAGGGATTCGGAGGAATTTGATGCAATGCGAGGGCTGGAGGATGGGCCACGTGTCCCAGAAGCTGCCTGGGAGGGAACATGAGTAGAGGTAATGTATTCCCTGGAGGGAGCTCGTGAAAATACCCACAGCCCAGGAAAATCAACAGTGAGAAAAGGGGTCAAGTTTAAGCCTTTAAAAAAATAAAAAATAAAAAAAAAATCAATATAAACTGTGATTTGAAGCACAAACACAGAATTCAACAAAGCTGCTGTGATTCCACTTCGGAGTGAAGGGTTTGCAGGCTGCCATGAGTTAGCAAACTTTCTCAGGATTGCATCAGCAAGAGCTACTGAGCCAGAGGCAGCAGGAAATCTCCTCTAAAAAAAAAAAGAGAGATTTACTCCAGCTTAACGCTGCTGATGGATGGGACCCAGAAAGCAAACAAAGGAGTGGCACTATTCAGCCAGGACTCAGGAAAATATCCTAGTTATTTCACACATTAATAAATTTCTCTGTGCTACATTCAAGTTTGGTTTTTGTCCTCTCCAAATCTTTCTCATTTGGGAAGGAAATGGAAAGTACCCCAAATAAATCACACCTGCAGCCACAAATGGTGGTTCCTGAGGTCCCAGTTTACCTCTTTTAAATACAGTTCTCGGGGCACAATCACTTAAATTCTTCCTTGTCCCCTCTCAACAGCTCTTAACTCATTTCCAAATATCTAGAATAAGCAAATTCCCAGATTAAAGCAAATTTCAGACCAGTCTGATGAAATTACCCTGTAGATTCCTTTCTTTGGGTATTCCTGATATTCTAAAAGGGGGAGTCAGGGAGAAGGAAGATCAGAACCAGAAACTGCAGCAGATAATTTAATTCCAAATTAACTATGCAGAGAAAAGCAAGCAAGTGATGAATGTGGATTTTCCTTTGACTCCTGAGCTCACCAGGCTGAGAATTTTCTGGTACTTGAGGGAGTTTTGCTATTTAAATACAAAAGGATTTGCTAAACTACCTAATGTCTAATAGCACAGACACATAAAAAGGGGCATATTAAAAATATAATTAAACTGATCAAAGAGACTTAGTCTGAGGTGCCCAGAGAGGTGATGGGAGTCTCCATCCTTGGAAATATTCAAAATCCACCTGGACAACTGGATCTCCTGATAATCCCTTGGTGTTTCACAATGGGAAAATAAAATCCCACAGCACTGACAAAGACTCACCGGTCTCTGTCATGGAAAATTCCCACTTAAAGTACCTGCAAAGTCATTTTGAGCTCTATAAACAAAGCACAAACTAAAGCCAGTTTTTACTGAAAATGCCACACTGGGAACAAATTGGTTCCCACCGACTGGACTGGTTTTTTCCAATGCACCTGGAGTGAAACCACAAAGGTTTAAGCTCAGAATTGCAGGTCTAGGCTGACTCAAAAGAACAGTAAATTCATTTTACACCAGACACTGAAACACCCCAGCAGTGAAAAAACCCCACCAATGGCATTTATTTCTATTTCAAACAGGAAGTGGAGGGGAAAAAAAGGTGTGATTATTAAATTCTAAACTTGCCAACAAATGTACAGATATATAAAGAAATTAACATTATGCTTTAAAAATACTTTCCCAAATAGGTAAATTCAGCTGCAGCCCAGTAATTAAACTTGCAAAAGCAACTCAGAGAGAAAAGCCCATTCTGCTAAATCCAAGTTTCCCATTTTAAATGAATGCTAGGAGTAATTCATAGTTCTGAACACAAAAAATATTTTACACTGATGTAAAATAACTTAAATTTTTTGATAGTTTCTCTTTCTTATTATCCCAAGGAGGAAAACTTCTGTTCCATTACAAATTGAAGAGAAAAAAAAAATATATAAAATATATACATAATTTATAGTGGAAGCTGTCCCTGCCCATGGCAGGGGGCTTGGAATGGGATGATCTTTAAGGTCCCTTCCAACCCAAACCATTCCATGATTCCATAAAATATTTCCTCCCCCCACTCCCATATTACCTTCTGAATATTTTTCCTCTCTGATTTTACTCATCCACTCAAACTGATGTCAGAAACTGTCAGTAAAACCAGGACTTTTTCATCCCGAAACATCAAAGTCATTCCCCCCACCCCACTAATTTAAATTAATAACCGACGCCAATACCACGGATTAGGCAATGGAATTGCTGCTGGAATTTTCCCTCCTCTGTACTCACCTGTCCCTCAGCTGGTGATAAGGCAGAAGCAGAGAGGAGAAGGGAATTTATAGGACACTGCCTCTGTGGAAAGCCAATCAAAACCCGGCACAAAGTAGGAGTTGTCCCACACCTTAAAAAAAAAAAAAAAAAAAAAAAAAAAAAAAAAAAAAAAAAAAAAAAAAAAAAAAAAAAAAAGAGCACGTCCTCGTGAGAGCAGCAGCAGCCAGGAATATCACTCCAGTCCCTTCTCCTTGATTTTGAAATGCCTGGAAGTTTGGGGCAGGCAGGGAGAGGGCTCTGAAGCTGGGCAAGCAGCTCTTCTAAATCCCAAAAACCCAACCTGAAGGACAAGGTTTCAGCTAATTAGCAGCGGTGCGAAGGATTTGTTCCTGTGGACAGCAATAATCTGGGATAGCAGGAATTTCGGGGGGTTTGTAAGGAGATTAAAGCACGGGGAAAGGGAAAAGAGGGAATGAAAAAAAAAAAAAAAAGGCAAGCAGCAGCATTCATAAAATGCCATTTAGGGAACAGCCAGCTGCTGTTCCTCTGCGAGGTTTCCAAGGTGTTACATAAGCGGCAGCACCTGTTGCTCACGTAAAAGTCAAAATTATGTTTATAGAAAGCAGTAGTTCCTATAAATTGGTTATTAATAGACTGTCACGGTGATAAGGAAGATAAGAAAGTCNGTTGTCCCACACCTTAAAAAAAAAAAAAAAAAAAAGGGGGAAAAAAAAAAAAAAAAAAAAGAGCACGTCCTCGTGAGAGCAGCAGCAGCCAGGAATATCACTCCAGTCCCTTCTCCTTGATTTTGAAATGCCTGGAAGTTTGGGGCAGGCAGGGAGAGGGCTCTGAAGCTGGGCAAGCAGCTCTTCTAAATCCCAAAAACCCAACCTGAAGGACAAGGTTTCAGCTAATTAGCGGCGGTGCGAAGGATTAGCATAAAGCAAACACGTGTTCCTGTGGACAGCAATAATCTGGGATAGCAGGAATTTCGGGGGGTTTGTAAGGAGATTAAAGCACGGGGAAAGGGAAAAGAGGGAATGAAAAAAAAAAAAAAAAAAGGCAAGCAGCAGCATTCATAAAATGCCATTTAGGGAACAGCCAGCTGCTGTTCCTCTGCGAGGTTTCCAAGGTGTTACATAAGCGGCAGCACCTGTTGCTCACGTAAAAGTCAAAATTATGTTTATAGAAAGCAGTAGTTCCTATAAATTGGTTATTAATAGACCGTCATGGTGATAAGGAAGATAAGAAAGTCACAGGGCTGGTCTGGAAGTTCCCCCAGTGAGCTTCAAGGAACACGGGAGAGAGGGAGGAGACAGAGGCCAGAAGTAAATCCCAGATCTCCCACAGGGTTTCTGCAGGGGGCTGCACAGCTGCTGGAGTGCCATGGGATGCTCCTTCATGGAGCCAAACCAAAGAATCCAGAACTTCCCTCTTTCCAAGAAAATTAAGGTACTCTCTAGGACACGGAATCCTGAAGATTCCCAACCACATCCTCGGGCACGTGGTCCACATCAAGGCTCTAAGCTTCCAAGTTCTCAACTCACATTTGGCTCCAAAGCCCAGAGTTTCTGCTTCAGACTTGGAGAAGGGCTTATGCTTTGGGAAGCTCCTCTACTTTTTCCAACTGTACCAAGAAGAGCTTGAGGGAAAAGCAAGTGCCTTCCTTGGGCGCCCAGAAGGTGAAACCCGTGCCACTTTGCCCTTGGGAAAGCCTTATTCCCTGATGCCCTAGTGCTGCCAAGAGGAAACTCCATTGGATTTGGGAGCGCTCAAGCTGCCACATCTAAGGGGTAACGCTCAGCTCAACCACAATTCCTGCAGCCTGGATTGCTGGACAGCCCAAATCCATCACACATCCCCTGCTGGCAGTTCCTCTGGTTCGGAAAGCCCCAGCTGGGGACGCTGCGTCCCTCCCGGTGTTCCCTGGCAAGGCGGATGTGCCAGGGTGTCCAGGCTGGAGCTGCTCTCCCTGGCAGGCAGCTCTTGGCCAAACTCTGCTAGAATAACCTTGACACACGATAGGCCCCCGTGGATCCTGTCCCAGGGGTGACGCAGGGCCGGGGGATGACGCCGGCCCCCGGGCAGAGCCCGCCAAGAGAAAACGTCAGCCCGAGGCACCGAGGGAGCTGCTGGAAACCTGACCCCAGGCACCAAAAATAAATAAAAAAAAAAAGGGATGTTACGGAGCTACTGAACGGTGTGACGCTCCTGGAGAGGATAAGGGATATTGGTCCTCAAAGGCAAATGCATCCTGGGCTCATCCCAGAGCGTGGGCAGCAGGAGAGGGAGGAATTCTGCCCCTCTATTCCCTTCAGATGAGACGCCATCTGCAGAGCTGCCTCCAGCCCTGGGGAACAACAGCACAAGGACGTGGAACTGCTGGATTAAGCCCAGAGGAGGCCATGGAGATGCTCCAAGGGCTGAAGCCCCTTTGCTCTGGGGCCAGGCTGGGAGAGCTGGGGAGGTTCACCTGGAGAAGGATCCAGGGAGACCTGAGAGCCCCTTCCAGAGCCCATAGGGGCTCCAGGAGAGCTGGAGGGAGAGGGACTTGGGACAAAGGTCTGGAGGGACAGGAAAAGAGGGAATGGCTTTAAACCAAAAGAAAGTTGGTTTAGATGGGATTTTATGAAAAATTTTCCTTGTGAGGGTGGTGAGTCCCCGGCACAGGTTGACCAGAGAAGCTGTGGCTGCCCTTGGATCCCTAGAAGTGTTCAAAGCCAAGATGGATGGGGTTTGGAGCAACCTGGGCTAGTGGAAGGTGTCCCTGCCCATGGCAGGGCGTTGGAACAAGACGATCCTTGATGTCCCTTCCGACCCAAGCCATTCCTGATTCCGTTCCCTGCCCATCGTGCGCAGATGAAGCCAAGGGCCGGGTGCGGGTGATGAGCACCAACACAACCCTCCCGCCCGCGAGAGAGGCACAAAAGAGCCGCGATGGGGCTCGAGCACCAAATCGCCGGCCCCAAAGGGGACCGAGGGGCGCGGGAGGATGCCGGGGGATGCCGGGGGAGCCGCTCCCGGGCAGGGCTCTGATGGCTGCGCGGGCGGGACGCGGCTCCCGTTCCCCCTCCCCCGCCCCATTCATTCCCTCCCGGCTGGGAGCGGGGCGGCCTCGCGCCCACCAATCCCCCCCTAAAAACGGACCCACGGAATTACCCCCATGGACCCACAGCCCCCCTTTCCCCTCCCCGGACCGGCCCCGCGCTCACCCTGGACCCGCCGCGCTCCCGCCGCCGCCCCGTCCGTGTCCCAGAGCCGCTTCCCCGGGGCTGGGTCTGACGTCAGCCGGGGTGGGGACTGAGTGACGTCACGGAACCGTGACGTCATCCGCGGTGAGGGGGCGGGGGCCCCCCAGGCCCAGCCGAGCCGAGGTTGGGGGGGGGCAGTCCCGGGGGATGCGCAGACACAGTGGGAACCCCTGGGCGTGGAATGGTTTGGGTGGGAAGGGACCTTAAAGATCATCTCGTTCCATGGGCAGGGACACCTTCCACTAGCCCAGGTTGCTTCAAGCCCCGTCCAACCTGGCCTTGGACACTTCCAGGGGTGGGGCAGCCACAGCTTCTCTGGGCGACCTGTGCCAGGGCTTCACCACTCCCGCAGCCAGGAATTCCTTCCCAATATCCTCTCTCTCCCTGCCCTCTGGCAGTTGGAAGCCATTCCCCCTTGTCCTGTCCCTCCAAGCCCTTGTGCAAAGTCCCTCTCCAGCTCTCCTGAAACCCCTTTAGACATTGGAAGGGGCTCTCAGGTCTTCCTGGATCCTTCTCTTCTCCAGGTGAACCCCCCCAGCTCTCCCAGCCTGACTCCAGAGCAGAGGGGCTCCAGCCCTTGGAGCATCTCCGTGGCCTCCTGGACTCACTCCAGCAGCTCCATGTCCTTCTGATGTAGGTCACCAATCACCCCTCAGGCTGTGGTACAACGCTGCACTGGTCATGGAATCACAGAATCCCAAAATGGGTCAGGCTGGAAGGGAACACAGTGGGTCTCTTGGTCCAACCTCCCTGCTCAAACAAGGTCATCCCAGAGCACATGGCACAGGATTGTGTCCAGACACTTATGGAATATCTCCAGTGAGGGAGACTTCACACCCTCCCTGGACAATCTGTTCAGTGCTCGGTAACTGCACGGGAAAGAAGTCCTTCCTCATGTTCAGGTGGAACTTCCTGGGCATCATTTTCTGTGCTGGGCACCCATTGCTGGGCCCCCCTGAGCAGAGCCTGGTCCATCCTCTGCCCCCTCACTGACAGACATGGATGAGATCCCCTCTCAGTGTCTCTTCTCGATGCTGAACAGCCCCAGCTCCCTCAGCCTTTCCTCATCTGAGAGATGCTCCAGTCCCCTCATTATCTTTACGTCACAGGTACAATTGTCTCTCCCAGGCTGTATCACCAGCTCCTTAAATGCCCAGACATCAGAGAGGGGCTACAATATCCAAGTGATCTTTCACTTGCTGTAATCTCCTCTGCCTTTCAAACTTCCTCTGCTGTCTTTGCATCCTTCCAGTGGCTGTTCTACGTGAACACCTGCTAAGACTTGGACAGTGGTTTCTGGTGTTCCCACTCTCACTGAGGTCACAGTGGCTGGGCAGGACCTCTTAGGTTCTAATCTGTTTCCTAAAAAATCAACACAAGGAGATGCCTCCCCCTTGCCCCCCAGGGCCACTGTGGAAGGCCACAGTCCTAAATGGCTTCGTTGACTGAGGCTTCAGCCCAGCAGAAAGAGTCACCTGGTTGGTCTCACGTGCAGAAACCAACACAGGGGGGACTTTGTTCAGTCAAGAAGCTCTTTGCTGGAGCGTGGACTGCAGGAATCGTTGTGTTTGTGCTGCCTGAGCTGTGACTCTGCCCCTCAAAACTGGAGATACCCCCTATCAGGACACACACAGCTGCTCACTGAGCTCCTGTGCAGCTTCTGCCATATCACAGGAGGGAGTCTGGTGGCTGATTGTGTGCAGGAGATGGGTGTGGCTACTCCGAGAAAAGAACTCAGCCCATCAATGTCTTTTTAAGTAGGAAGCCACGAAGGGAATGAAGTCAGTGGAGCTGCATGTCCCCAGCAAGGATCTCACTGAGGAGTAGACCCTGGGGTAAGGCTGACACTCAGACATTAGAAGGGAAAGCTCAAACAGTCTTAGAGAGGGAAACCACTTCATATCACGAATATTGAACTGAGATAGGATGGCCCTTTCCGCTGGAGACATTTCTGTTTTGGAAACACCACTGCTGAACTTCCATAGAGGGCAAGAGTGCTTGAATGAGCACATTCTCCTTGAATGGAGAGAAGCTGAAGTGCTTGATGGGTTGTGAACCCAGGTTCAGCATTTCTGGATCTCAGCCACAGGAGTGTGTGTTCTGTGAGGTGACAAGCCTTCCAAAAAAAAAATGCAGTCCTATACCTTCCCATGTCCTCCAAAGCTACTTCTGCTGAGGTTTTGGAGCTGTGCTTCTTTCTTACGGATTCTGCTTCTTTATTTTCCTTTCTGGAAAATTGTCCTCCATTTGAAGGCCCCTTGCAGGTGTTTCACATCAACAAAAGAGAAGGCAACTTCTACAAATCCTTTTTTTTACCCCCAAATGCATCACTGTTAAAGTGGGCTTCTGGGGTGTCAGCTGCCTTCCAGGTCATTCCCACAGAGACATCCATCTGTGTGCAGGGCCTCTGGACTGTCTCCCTGTCTCAGGTTGCAGTTTGCATCAGGAAACGCTGATCTCCTTGGCACCTGGTGTTTCTTCTCCCCACGTGACTGGGAGGTGCACAGGTAGCTGGAGCAAAGAGCTCCCTTGGGTGTGAAATGAGCTCCTGGAACCCCCCTGGGCTGCACAGAGGAGGTGAGTTACCCAAGCACCAGGATCCCTGCTGGTGCAGCCCTGGGTAACCTGACAGCAAAGCTGTGGAGTGAAGCCTGTGGTGAACTCTCCTGGGAAGGCTGCCAAGTCTCCAGGGAGAAGTGACTGCACACAGCAGCTCGTGGAGTCATCTGCATAACAGTTCTTCCTGATTTCTCCAATGCTGCCCTTTGCTCAGAGAACCTCATTCTCTCTGTAGCTTCCCTGCAGTCCTTTTCTTGCCTTGGAGTCATGAATCTCCTTCTCTTCTGCTTCTCAGCCCCTCACATGCTATTCTTACCTGTGAGGGTGGTGAGGCCCTGGCACAGGTTGCCCAGAGAAGTTGTGGATTTCCCATTCCTGGAAGTGTTCCAGGCCAGCTTGGATGGGGTTTGGAGCACCCTGGGACAGTGGAAGGTGTCCCTGATCTTTGCAGGGGGTTGGAACAAGATGAACTTTAAGGTCCCTTCCCACCCTACACTTTCTGGAGGCAGCAAGGACCACACTGCACGCTTCTTGTGGGGTCCTGGCCAAGGATCCTTCTAGAGAGGGGCCAAAACTTCAGAAACACAGAAATACGACATGGGTTTGATGCAGTCCAGGCACTACCCGACTTCTTAGACATCCAGCAAAGCTGTAGGGAGCAGGAAGTTCTTAAGGGAGCTCTTAATGAGTGACCAGGAGGGATTAGAGAGCCCGGAGCAGTTTGTGCAAAGTATTTGGACTTAGATCTGATCCCGTGTCACACTTTCTAAATCTCCCAGCAGCCTCCTGCTGTGATAGGGTTTTGCAGCCTAGGAATCCCACTCCTGAATCATGGTTAGAGTCATAGAATCACTGAATGGCTTGGGTTGGAAGGGACCTTGAAGACCATTTAGGTTCTCCTGCTGTTTCTGGCTGAGGGAGAAGGTGACTTCTGACAACATAAGGTGCTACCAGAAGGGGAAGCTTGAGTGTTGTTCCCCTTCTCAGGGGAGCAAAGTTAGGGATCAGTAGGATGTCCTCTGAAAGGACAAAGGGGACAAGGTGAGGGCAAACAGAACTCTGTGTTTGATGAACTCAGTGCTTTGACGGGCCACAGAAAATCTTCAGATGGAAGTTGATCAAATCCTCCTTTCCCTGAGTTCATCATCATTGCCAACAGCATTTGTGGAAAGACCTTCCAGATCCTTCTCCTCCTTCCTTCTGCTGAGCTGTACTTCCAGCAAACAATGTTTCTACATGTTCTTTTTCCCCCTTATTCCAAACACATCTATCTTTCACAACCCCAAACATTAACTCCCCTGGGAACAAAGGCTTTGAGATAAGATTAGCTTTACCACAGAGGTGTTTGTAAGCTCTTTTTTTTTTTTTTTTTCCACTGCCTCCTGCTTATGAATTCCACCCCTTGGCAGGGATGTTGGGATGGTTATGTAACAGCTTAGCTACTGTAATTAGAGGGCACAAAATTACATGGGAAGGAGGGATATTATCCAGTGTGGATGCTACAAACTCACCCGAGTTTCAAAAGCACACGGGTTGAGTTTGGGGAGGAGAAGAACCCTAATGAGGAATGACTGTGAATATACATAAAGTCCTTCAGCTGGAGATCACAGAGCCGTGCGAGAGTTTTGCGGGGAAAGAGCTGCTGGTAGAGACAAAGAAACTGGACTGGGACAGTCTTTGCTTGATTAGCTGTGGTTGCTTTTATGCTCTTCGTTCGGTTCCCTGAGTGTTGAGCAAAACCTGCCCCAGCACAGCAAGGAGCAGAGGAGGAGCTCACAGAACTCTGCCAACAAACCCCTCTCTATAAAAATGCTGGTTTTCAAGGCCATTTGTTATAAGCAGAACACTGAGGCACAAGGAAGCCCAGTGCAGTAATTATATTTGTGAAGTGTGGGTCATGTCTGTTTGCTGGACCCACTTGATTGTTATTCACACAATGGAGCCTTTTTTTTGTGTGTGTGGTGCTGAGCTTATCAGGCTCTATTTTAAAAATTATTTGTGCTTGAGTCATGTTTACACTCCCTCTCTGCAGTCCTTTGAATCTGAAGGTGCTCCTGGAAAGCAAACCAACCTCCTCCTTTGACATGGAGTTCCCATTTAACCATATTTTTGAAACCTTGCCTATCTTTTCTGAAGTCTGTTGAATTTCACAGTGTTCTGCAGATAATACTCTTTCCATCTTGCTTAGTTCCTACCCATAAACAGGTCTTAAACTGTTCACAGTGTTGAAGAGAGGAGATAAAATACCTTCCAGCTTTTGCTTTTTCATCTTCCTCCACATAGAAAAGCAAATGTCTAATTCTTTATTTATTCCTGAAGTCTTGCCATCATTAATTAGCACAGTAGATTGTGGTCTTAGAGGACTTTCCCCTTCCATCATCTTCATGATGGAGTTCTGGATCTTGATTTTTTTTTGAATACTCAAACACCTTTCTGCCATTATAACTCTCAGAAATGTGCTCTTGGATCCCTTAAAGAATTCCTCTTTGGAGGGAGAAGAATTTTCCATCTGCCTGGGGGAGAAGGAAGGAGAAAGACCCGGAGGTCCTGGTGGACAGCAAGCTGTCCA